CTCCAACCTAAGAGCAATGGCCTCCAACCTAAGAGCAATGGCCTCCAGATGGTGGAAAACAGCTCTTTCTTTCGGCCCAGGTACCGAGATCGGGAGTCACGCCGCCGGCTAGGTGATCGCCGCCGCCGAGAGTTGGACCTCAACTTGGGGCCAAAGCCCATGGCCTCTTAGCATGATCTCACTCAACGATAGAATTTGTGTTTCGGCGTCGAATCCCCTTGCTCTTTTACCTTCCAACATATGCGTATTACTGGCTCAGCATGATTGATTGCATTGGTTTTCTCCAAAAGGCGACTTTCTCTGCTCCTTGAACGCCCCCTGGATCGCTACACTTGGCTCCAGGTGCCCCGAGCCGTTTCCGGGAGTTGCGCCGACGTGAGCGAGAGCGCGAGTCACTGCGGCCGCGGGAGTCACCCCGGAGCTTCTCCTTGCGCCGAAAGTGTTCGGATTGTCCGAAAGTTTCAGACACAATGTCTTTTCTTTTCTCTTCTTGCTTTAAGACCATGTCTTTATCCTTTTTTCTTTCGAACTTTCCCTTTCATTCCTATTGAATCATGTGTTCTTTCTTTCTCTTCATCTTCCATGCACTTCGATTGTTGTGTCAAATGTGTCTTGAAAAAATCAGCGACGCGACATGATTAATGCACTCCCTAGATGGTCAAATGGTCGAGCCAAATAGTTTAAACTGCTCCCAATTAATTTGTGGATGGACCAAACTAATAAGGGGTGCAACGCATAAGGGCTTTGTGGGGTGTGAGCTTGAAACACGTTAATCTTGGATAGTCTTTCTGTTATAAAGCATCTAAGGGTGGTTTTGGAATGTGTGTGATGCTGGGGATCTTTCGCCATGCGAAGCCGAACTGCCAAAGGCATGGTTACAGGATGATGGATTCATGAAAGTAGAGGTTGTGAAGAAAAGGATCAAACAACAGGAGACAAAACTGACAAACTAGTTGGGTGGATTTCTGTGTACCCAGTTTGGGAAAATGGGCCAGCCTTTATTGCCAAAGAAATGCTTGATGATGTGATGCCACCAACTGTGCCTTGCTTGTGCCTTCGTTTGGTTGTACATATCTTAGTTAATTTTCCGGGAAGTTGGCTTTGTTCGGATGGCTACGCACCACAACTCCCAAACACAAAGTTGAACTGAAGGGTCTTGGGATGCGCTGAAAACTAAGTCCGGTCCGCAAGTATTGTTGGAAAATTGGCCAGAAGGTTTCTTGAAAGGCGGATAGTACTGGAGAAAACAAATTGGCCAAACAAACAGGGAGGTTCCTTAATCATGTGTTGGCTTTACCTTTGTTTGTCCTATATATTATCGTTCTTTGCTCCATTTGATAAAAAGTAGTAGCCTACGGTAGTGCTTTTCTTTAGAACTTTCATCCTGTTTTTCTGCTCTTCTTTCGACCTTGACTATATCAGTTCACCCTTTTCAAATTTTCCTTTAGACATGTGCTTTTTCTTTGGATCTTTTATGATCTTTTCTCTTACTTTTCTTCTTAAGACCTTTCTTCTTTACCGTTGTTTCTCCGAATAAGACAATAACTCTACTCTACTTCAAACTATCCCCACACCACTGGGCACACTGGTAGGACAATTGGGTCGGGGTGACTGTCAAGGTAGGACGCTTGGTCATGATGTCATTATATGTTAACTACTGTCTTTGTAATTTTAGTCCTGGTGTGTCAAGTTTTGTGTGTAAGTGTCTTTGTTTGTTACATTGTTTGTGCTTGGTGTTCTCAGAGTGTCAATGTTTGGTGCGTGCTGTCACGCCGGGCCACCGGCATCTGGCCACTAGTGGAATACCTGAGCCATGCCACTGGTGGCAGGATGTGTTGTGCGGTGTTGTCTGTTGTTTGTAAGGCACTGGGTGATGCCCTCAAGCAAAGGTCACGATAAGGTGGGTTGTCTGCTCCAGACTCATCCAAAAATCTAGCTCCCCCAATCCTGTCGGATGGGAAATACATCAATATTATGTCGCTGACTAAAAGGATGTTCAACAAAAGCACACAAGAATCACAATGAAGGTTTCTGTCAAGAGTTCACCAAGCCATTGCAGCCTGAAGCTTTGTCTCTTTGAACCATCAGACTGTTGAAATCGTTGACACAAACTCCTAAGTGGAACATGGGGGCATGCTCTCCTGCACCATTTCGTTGACCATACGTTCTGCATGCATTCTGCCACCATCTCCAGTCTTGGAGCCAGCATTGGCACTGAAAATGAGCAGCCGCTCCTCAACGCAAACAAAACACTCATGGTCAAAATGCTCTTGGACTATTTTCCTTCCCTTCCATCTTCAGTTGGCATTCTCATCACATCCAATTCGGCTTTGGTGGAGTCCGACAGTGTTATGCAATGGTGCGCAAATGGATGTTTTCTCAAACACTTCCATTCCTACTTATCGAAGGCAACGATCTGAGAATATGAACTGCTCCTCTCCATGCTTGTCCAACGCCATGAACATAAATGTCCCTGTTGCCTGGGCTTGTGGGGTCTTGCTCGCAATTAGCAAGAAGGTTTTCCGTAAGGCGTAGAGGCCAATGCCTAACGCCTTGAACCATACTATTATCTGATCACATGAGAGCGCTCTGTTTCATTCCGGACTCATTGATGAGTGGGTGAAAGTTTTTGTTCTAAGCGCAAAGAGGCACAATGCGAGGAGGTGGGTGGTATTCGGGCTGTTGTTCTTCCCTGTTCTGCTTGCCGGCACTGAAAAGGACAAAGAACACATTGACCTTCCTCTCTCATGAACTCTGTAACTCAAGTCTTTTCTTTTTGTGCTGAATGGTTCTGCGCACGCCTGTTCAACTCGCCGAAGCTCACTGCCTCTGTTCCCGGTGACCCAACCTTGAGGAAAGCGATGCTATGGCGATGCTCTAAGCTTGAGGGCTTTTCAGCTCGTTCTACGTTCAACGCTTCAGTTGATCAGAGACATGGATCATCTGCCAAATGCTTTAACTCACACCTGATAACCGGATCTAAGATCCGTGCCTTTGCAGTTCTCCGGGATGTGCATCTCCGTGCAATCATCGCGATCTGAGGACCGTAGAAACAATTCACACGCACATTATTTTGTTTAGTCAATGTAGTCAAGTCGACATAAGGGGTAGTTAAGTTTGTCTTTTTTGCCTTAGTCGGGGTGGGACGTGAAACACTAACATGACACTTGTTTACAGCCTTCGTTTCTATTGTGTTCTTCTCTATCAGTCGATGAAAGTTCTTATGTCTTTGGTTCGTGTTGGGTTCAACTGAAAGGGGTCATGTATGGGTGGGTGGGTGGGTGGGTGGGTGGGGGTGATAACGTTCGTTTACATGACTTTGGTCAGTTATGCCGCAGTTTCGGTTCGAATGTCGGAAGACGCCCCATTCTTTGCCGTGGACACGTTGTACTTGGACTCTTTGCTTGAAGTATCTTGAAGTCTTGACGGCTCGGGTTGATCCTATTGGATTGTTCAGGAAACAGTTTTGTTGGATCGTTGACCTCGTGGCTTTTCTCAATCTTCTTGTCTACGAGTCTACCATTATGCTTTCATCTGTGGTGTGTTCGGTGTTTTCGCGCTCATTGACGCGATCGCCGTCTCTCGCTGCTTCTCTCGCTGAAACTCAACCACTAGGCTCGGCAATTCCAATGGCAATATGTGCAAAAGAATCGGAACTTACTCAAAACGGGCAGGGCAAACAAAGTACGCGTCGCCAACACCCCCAAAGCAACATAGTAGAAGTTTTGGAGTCAAAACTTAGGTTTTGAGCACTTCGACATCATAAGTGAAAGAACATATGTAAAAAGTACCATCTCACAAAACACTGGCCTGCACGGTGAATTTGCAATTGTTCTTTGAAAAAGAGGGCCGGCCGATTCCCCGCAGGGAAGTTTAGGCAGTATGATTCAGAGCATGATTCAAGGGTCGGTATGTGAAATATTGTTCTGACACCATTGTGGCGGATGATTCGGATTTCGGTGGCGTGATTCACTAAAGTCGAGCTTTCCATCACATCAAAACGTGAACGTAAAACCTCAGACACTGCCTTGTACATCTGACACCGTCACAGAACCACGGCGCTGCGCCAGCAACCAGTCCTAGCAAAACTGATTGTCACTGTGATGCTTGCTCATCCAGATCCGGATCTGATGCTTGCTCATCCAAATCTCGTTTCTCAAAACTGCCACATCAGGACAGTCTTTGCGCAGTCTCAGGACACACATGAACAAAGAAATTAGCAAAGGCTGAAGCTGAGCCAACATTGGGCACAGAATCTGGGCTCCCCAAGCAATGAATTGTTTGCAGCGCTTCCGTTCCTCACAATTCGTTACCTTCTGGCCTTGTAACCTTGATTGATCTTGTTTCCTGGTTTGCAGGATTCTTTTCGTGGGAGGCCATGGCTACCAGGTGGGAGGCCATCGCTATTAGGTTGGAGGCAATCGCTACTAGGTG